TGTTTTGTGTTGCGGTTTATGTTTTAGTTTGCTAGACAAGACAATAACGCGGCGAGGCATACGGAAATTTCTTCGCTCACGAATCGACGACGACCGTTGCTTCGACAACTGTTCGATAACTTTTTGCTAAAATACTTCCTTTTGAGTTCGTATTTTAGCCATGCTACAGTATTTACAAGAAAATCAAATCAAAGCATGAAAAAATATCATAATTGTTGTCAATTTGGTTGTACGATTGTAAATTTATATTTTGTTAAACGCCATCTGTTGACTAGCTATGAAAATTTATTCATTTTACACAAATTTATTGGTTCCGGTCTATTTTGAGGTTAGTTTAATGGTAAAAACTAACCTAATATTTAAATAGAACACTTTAAATGCAAAAAAATGTTTTTATCGTAATAATCATATTGCTTCAGTTATTTTGTAAAAAAAATACACACAATTACTATAACATTAGCGAATTATATTTACTAAGTTAATTTTAAGGTTAACTAAAGTATAATCCCAAATATAACCAACAAAATCACATAAGATGCTTGTTATGCGATAATTGCCGTTAACAATGTTCAAGAAAGTGCTATTATTAGTGACCAGATAATGAAAACGCAAAAATCCAACGCGTAGCAATAATTATACTTGGACGTGTGATGAATTACCCAAGAGATGAAACGTTGTCGGAAGATTTGAATATGCACCTACGAAAATTCAAGCAATAGGTACCTTCGTTTAAAGTTTTAATTTCACCAGAGTTGGATAATTAACAGGCAAGTCTTCAATGAATTTCTAGCATCGCAAGTGTAATTATCGATTGTGTAACGAAAAAAACCACAGCACTAGATGCAAAATTGTAAACTCTAAACTGGTAGATTTGCTAGAAAAATCCAGCGAACCTTCATCGCGCACACGAGCTCACACACGTCGTGCGTAATGTTTTAAAATTGAATATTGCGCTGATGGCTTAACGATAGAAGGTTCGAGCACGTCTCCTTCCGAATCATCCCAGTTTCTGCGCGAATCACACACACGAGCGCCTCTCGGATATTAAACGCGCATAATTGCTTTCATTCTTTTACAAATTCGTTCGTGTCATCACGAATATCAATCCCAACTTCATCGAAATGCTTATCGTTGCGTCCGCGTTTAATTCGCCGCTCACGCTCGCCACAATGCGCTCAGAGGCTAAAAACGAGCGCCTCGCAAGTGAATAATTCTAAGGTTGTAATTTGAAAAAAAAATAATTAACGCGTCAAACGATGCCAAATGGGATAATGGGTGAGTGTGTGGCGAGTTGTGCGGATAATAATTATTAATTTCATTCAAAATCTCATACCCATGCAGCTATGGTCATCAACAGTTTATAAAACGATTTAAAACTTTCTGCCACTAATAATTGACAAATATTATTATGTCATCCTGAAAATAAAATAATTAAAGATTACCAACTATTACGCAAACGGATTCTTAACAAAATTCGTTATACATTCATGCATCCAGTTAACTTAGTAAATTGCCAAAGAAGCACATGCGTGAGGTGCGAGAATCACCTTCATTTTTTAATAAATTTTTTCTCCGTTTCTTGGGTTTGTAGTTTAGTCGGTCGTTGGTAAAAGATGCGGTAATGAATTTCGCTACGGACGTTAAACGTGAGAATTTACTTAGTATCGAAAAATGAAATTTAACTAAAAATCTGAGAAATAAAAGCGAAATTAACCTAGAAAAATATACCTATAACCGGTAAATGAAAGAAAACAAAGATGGCAGTGTTTTACACATTCTGACGTCATGATACCAAGGTCTCATCAATCAAACACTCTTCATTAGCCATTAAATCATTGATGATCAACTAATAAATTACAAAATGTGATCTTTTCGTTATTAGTTGTTTGTCCGTTTGATGGTTATTGGTAATTTGTATTTACATGCGTAACGATTCAATATTTCATCGCGTAATTCCATTTTATTACAGCTCATAAATAATAACTCGAGATTCATGCGCGATAAATGTGTTTTACGTCCAATCCAATTCTAATACGCATAATATTCACTGCATTGTAATCGGGAATGCACATCTGACCTAATGAATAAATTGTTAACATTAATCGCAATGCAAGCGCATCGGTAGTGAAAAGTGGCGAAGATTACAAAAACACAAAAATTGCGCAATTTGACGCGCAATTTACTTGTCAAAACTTTGCAGACACGCACCGACATGCGATGAGAGATGTGTTTGCCGATGAGTTCTGCGCGAATCCGATGCTAATCTATAATCTAAAGTAATCTAAGCTTTAAGCTGCTCTGAGGCAATGTTTATCGGAAAGTGTTTCTGCGCACCGCCTGGGAGTAGCTAACATTTTGTGACAGCCTTGTTGATCCGTCATTTCCTATTCAATTATAGTTCAATTATAGGTCTCGCGTACGTCTGCGCAGTAAACATCGTCAAGAATTTATTCTAAAGGTGAAAATGCAAAAAACTGTTGGCAATTATAGCAGTGGTTAATGTGGTAAATATTTACACAAGATTAGAAACACATTTTTTACAGATTCTGAAATCACCACTACTTGAAAAACTAAACTTAGTTTTTTTTTCTGCGCTGTACTTAATTTTATGATAAAAGCTTAAATTATAATAAATACCTTTATAAATAATTTACTATTAGTTGTTAGAAGTTGCCAATTGTTTAGGAAAAGATTTTTTTATAAATTACTATTTCACTGCTGAAACTTTCTTCCATAACCTCAAAATCAATCTTAATATGCTGTTAGTGACAAAGTAACCAACTTTGCCGGCCCAAAGTTACTAGATAATATACGAAAGTACCTAGATTATGCAACGTTGCCATATTGCCTCGCAAGAAATTGTGATGTGACGTTTTTTTTTCATAAAATTCCATCACAAAAACACATAAAATGTAAACTATAAAAGGAATGAAGAATTTTGAAATACTCGTAAGTATTGAACATACACTCTCATCTTTGTAATATTAATCCAACTACTTAAGCTCTTATATATACTACTCGCATTATAGCTACAACTTTCTAACGCAATATTCAAGAAAAGGTCACAAAAATTCGTGGCAGAAAACATCCAAATTTTATTTTAAACAGTTTGCCATAAAGAAATAAAATCGGAGATAAAAAGTTTTAAGTCAGCTATATATCCGTGACGGTTGCTTTGCGAACACGTGTGAAATGCCGTTTTGGGCGCCAAGTGAAAACCAATACGCTATTCATAAAGGCTGAGGTCAAAACCAACTGATGAAGTATTTGTGGAATTACTATGTCTATATGGGACATATAAGTGCCAGGGGCCCCTCAGGCAGCCGGGGCCCCCCAAGCAGCCGGGGCCCTAGGCGCGCGCCTAGTGCGCCTAGGCCGTAATCCGCCACTGCAGTTAACAGACAAATGGTTAATTTGTTTATATCGAATACAATTGATACTTAAAGAAACAAGCGTGTGGAATTTTCGGCCAATTTGTAAAACAATGAATTGGAATGTGAGCAGAGCATATATGCAACTCGAAATGTGTTACAATGATGAAACATTTATGTGATGATACCCTCCTCGAGCGATGGCAATATAATAAAATGTATATCTGTGAGTGTGTAGAAAAAAACAAAAGAATAACATAAAAGTATAAAATTAGTAAATTGCCAAAGAAGCACATGCGTGAGGTGCGAGAATCACCTTCATTTTTTTAATAAATTTTTTTCTCCGTTTCTTGGGTTTGTAGTTTAGTCGGTCGTTGGTAAAAGATGCGGTAATGAATTTCGCTACGGACGCTAAACGTGAGAATTTACTTAGTATCGAAAAATTAAATTTAACTAAAAATCTGAGAAATAAAAGCGAAATTAACCTAGAAAAATATACCTATAACCGGTAAATGAAAGAAAACAAAGATGGCAGTGTTTTACACATTCTGACGTCATGATACCAAGGTCTCATCAATCAAACACTCTTCATTAGCCATTAAATCATTGATGATCAACTAATAAATTACAAAATGTGATCTTTTCGTTATTAGTTGTTTGTCCGTTTGATGGTTATTGGTAATTTGTATTTACATGCGTAACGATTCAATATTTCATCGCGTAATTCCATTTTATTACAGCTCATAAATAATAACTCGAGATTCATGCGCGATAAATGTGTTTTACGTCCAATCCAATTCTAATACGCATAATATTCACTGCATTGTAATCGGGAATGCACATCTGACCTAATGAATAAATTGTTAACATTAATCGCAATGCAAGCGCATCGGTAGTGAAAAGTGGCGAAGATTACAAAACACAAAATTGCGCAATTTGACGCGCAATTTACTTGTCAAAACTTTGCAGACACGCACCGACATGCGATGAGAGATGTGTTTGCCGATGAGTTCTGCGCGAATCCGATGCTAATCTATAATCTAAAGTAATCTAAGCTTTAAGCTGCTCTGAGGCAATGTTTATCGGAAAGTGTTTCTGCGCACCGCCTGGGAGTAGCTAACATTTTGTGACAGCCTTGTTGATCCGTCATTTCCTATTCAATTATAGTTCAATTATAGGTCTCGCGTACGTCTGCGCAGTAAACATCGTCAAGAATTTATTCTAAAGGTGAAAATGCAAAAAACTGTTGGCAATTATAGCAGTGGTTAATGTGGTAAATATTTACACAAGATTAGAAACACATTTTTTACAGATTCTGAAATCTCCACTACTTGAAAAACTAAACTTAGTTTTTTTTCTGCGCTGTACTTAATTTTATGATAAAAGCTTAAATTATAATAAATACCTTTATAAATAATTTACTATTAGTTGTTAGATGTTGCCAATTGTTTAGGAAATGATTTTTTTATAAATAACTATTTCACTGCTGAAACTTTCTTCCATAACCTCAAAATCAATCTTAATATGCTGTTAGTGACAAAGTAACCAACTTTGCCGGCCCAAAGTTACTAGATAATATACGAAAGTACCTAGATTATGCAACGTTGCCATATTGCCTCGCAAGAAATTGTGATGTGACGTTTCTTTTTTTTGCATAAAATTCCATCACAAAAACACATAAAATGTAAACTATAAAAGGAATGAAGAATTTTGAAATACTCGTAAGTATTGAACATACACTCTCATCTTTGTAATATTAATCCAACTACTTAAGCTCTTATATGTTTAATTCTTAATGAGAAATTATACAATTTAATTATTATATGCAACATACTTCCATTTGTGTCCTGATTTGGTATCTCTTTAAATTACATATTAAACTTGCAATATAATTAAAACCTTAATAAACATGCCTTAACCTACACCTGAAATTATGCGACCAATTCGTTACACTATCCATTATCTACTCAAGGCGTCTTGGTGTAATTATTTCAAATTGATGTTAACGACATCTTCGCCATTCCAACCCATTGATATCTGTGCATAACGCAGGGCGATAAATCTTCAATCGAAGGTAAAATATTATTTATTTGTAAACCGACGAGACAAATGCCGCTAATGACTTTTATTTGTTTCTGTTTAATTCCTCAACAGCGTACTGACTGCGTCGTCGAGATGCTGGATGTGCTCTGCGCGAGAGAACAACGAACGACCTTACAGTGAAAGTAACCCCGAGAGTATTGCTTCCCTTCCCATTCTAAATCTAACTCAGCGACGTCCTCAACCGTCTCATCATCATCATCATCATCAGCGACGCGGTATGGTAAACAATGCGCTCGCCGCGGGTGGGAGGACTGCGATGACCCCATCGTCCCCACGAATTTGACTCGTCTTCGCGGATCTGTGCGTCGGCGGCGTGGTCCTGCGTGTAGGGTTGATGACTGGTATAAATGCTACGGCATCCTCTAGGAGGCGATAGTGTGCGCTTCGTTTCGGCGCCGAACACATCGAAACACACACACAATTAGGTGTTTTCTAATTAGGTACATACTCTCAGATTTATTTTCTAAGTATTTAGTTTGATTTCATTTGGTGTTTTGCAGTTTTACAAGTTTTAAAGGCAGAAACTATCGACCAACATGAGGAAATTAAATATTTCTTTAGGTAAGTCAAATATTTTACACGACAAAGTAAAACTCCTGCGTCTGTATTTTTAGTTTTTACTTTTCTCATTAACTTTCGCAATTTTACATTCGTGTGAAGTTTCGGTTTCACGTCATGTCTCACTAATTTTGCAAAGAGTCATTTTGTTTCTCCACAAAAATCAAACAAAAATATTAAGTTTCTAGATATAATTAATTTAATAGTATATCGTGTTGCATATATACTTAAATGTTTTTATGTTATATTGGTTGCCTATATGTTCCAAACACTAATTTTTATATTATTTGTAGTACTTGAAATATTTTTAACACACTGTATAGGAAAATTTAATTTTAATGATATATACTACTTAAAATAATAGGGACCAAAGCTATTATGTGTCAGTCAAACGTGAAAATGTTGTGTGCACGCCGCATTTTAACGCAACCGGCGTTGAATGTGGGAAATTGACTGAAAAGTAACTTTTTAATGCACCGATAGTCGCGTGTGATGCGCACCATGCTCCTGTTAGGTAATGAGCGTATTCACCTAGTGTGTTGCATTACGTGATCGCCGAGATTATAGAATATAAAATTGCGTCAACTTTCCTTCCAAGGTTACGCAGCGCGCGAACTTCTTCTCACACTCGATTAAGCGCGAAACACCCACATCGCAATAATCATTATTGTTGCACCGCCAGACGGCACTTAAAGCCATTATTATCATTATACGCTCGTAATTTATTGCATAGTTTAGATTTAAATATACGTTAACACATATATATGTGAGTATGTGTTTAACGTGTCATTTTCTCTGGTGCTTAAATTCATTAATTTTATGTTTGTGTTTGCAGTGCTATTGCTGGTGGCGTTTGGTGTGCAGGTAGGTTGAGCAAACGCTGAGAATATTTTTGTTGTCATTTTTGACGTAATTTTTTTAAGGGTCAAAATGGTAATGGGTATAATTACAATAAACCTGATAAACCATTTGGAGGTCCTGGTGGTCCAGGTGGTCCTGGTGGTAGTGCACCAGGTGCACCAGGTCCAGTAGGACCAAGTGGAGGTGCTCCAGGAGGACAACAAGGTTATCCCTCTGGACCAGCGCAAGGTCCTGGCGCAGGACCATCAACTGGTTACCCATCTGCTGGTGGTCCTTCACAACAAGGTCCAGGTCAAGCTCCATCCGGTGGATATCCGTCTGGCAGACCAGGCCAACAAGGTCCACAGGGTCCAACCGGTTATCCAAGCGGTCAGCCAGGTGCTCAACCAGGTGGACAGGCCGGTTATCCATCTGGTAGACCTAGTGGACCAGGATTTCCGGCTGGTGCTCAGCAACCTGGTGGTTATCCGTCGGGTCAACCACAAGGACCACAACGGCCTGGTACTCAAGGTCCGACTGGTGGATATCCAAGTGGACCACAAGGCGGACAACCTGGACAACAAGGCCCTGGATATCCAAGCGGAGGACCAGGTCAACCAGGTGCTGGTTACCCAAGCGGAGGACCCGGACAACAAGGACCAGGTTATCAAAGTGGAGGAGCAGGACAACCAGGGGCGGGTTACCCAAGTGGTGGACCTGGACAACAAGGTGCAGGATATCCTAGCGGTGGACCTGGTGCGCAAGGTCCTCAATTTGGTGGTCAAGGCGGACAAGGTGGTCAAGGACCCAGTGGACCATCATTTGGCGGCCAAGGCGGTCAAGGACCAAGTGGACCTTCTTACGGGGGACAAGCACCGAGTGGACCTCAATTTGGCGGTCAAGGACCAAGTGGACCTTCTTTTGGTGGTCAAGGACCAACTGGCCCAACTTTTGGCGGACAAGGACCTAGCGGACCATCTTTCCAACAAGGTGATGTTGGAGGAGATGGCGGCCAAGATGATGGATCATACGACGGTGGTGATTACTCAGCTATTCCCGGCGAACCTGACGTCGACTACCCCATTCTTTCCGAAATTCCCGAGACTTCATTCCGTTGTGAAGACCAGCAATACCCAGGTTACTATGCTGATGTAGAAACAAGATGTCAGGTTTTCCACATTTGCGCAAACAACAAAACCTACGATTTCCTCTGCCCTAATGGCACCATCTTCCATCAAGAATATCTCGTGTGCGTCTGGTGGAACCAATTCGATTGCAACACCGCTCCATCACTCTTTGGCATCAACGCTAACATATACGACTATTCAATTGTAGGCGCACAGCAACAACCGGGTGGTTACGCGGGACAACCAGGACAAGAAGGCCCAACTGGTCCATCTGGTCAATTCCCAGGACAGCAAGGTCCTACAGGTCCAACAGGGCAATTCCCAGGTCAACAAGCTCCAACAGGTCCAACTGCTCAATTCCCTGGTCAACAAGGACCTAGCGGTCCGTCAACAGGATACCCAGGAGGACAAGCTCCAGCTGGTCCAACCGGTGGATACCCCTCTGGACCATCAACATCATTCCCAGGACAACAGGGTCCGCAGGGACCTACCGCTTCTTATCCAGGTCAGCAAGGTCCAACTGGACCAACAGCTATCCTGGTGCACAAGGTCCCTCTGGACCAACAGCTGGTTACCCAAGTGGTCCATCAACTGGTTTCCCAGGTGCACAGCAATCAAGCGGACCTTCGTCTGGTTATCCTAGCGCGCAAGGCCCAGGAGCACAGGGACCAACCGGCACAGGCCGACCCCAAGGCCCCGGTGGTCAGCAACCAGGTCAATTCCCAGGTTATCCAAGCGACCGACCTTCAACTGGTTTCCCAGCCCCCGGAGGCCAACAGCCCGGTCAGCAGCAGAGACCCGGTCAGTCGCCACAGCAGCCGACGCGAGAATACCTCCCACCAGTAAGCGGTTAACGTACAAAACTTGCCTTAACGAAAGTTACCATTTCTACCAAGTTACCATATCGAGCCTTAGTGAAAACGTATGTACATAATAATTTAAGATTACCTATTTAAAAGCGACGAATTTTACATATTTTTCTATATAAAAAAAAAGAAACGCTTACGAGAAATAGTTAATAAACGGCCGCCAGGGCCATCTTGTTTATGAATCCGATGCCTACAATGGCGTAGCCACAATGCTAATGTATTCTAGTGACGACGAGTGTGTGAATAGAGTTCACTCGTTTCTTAGCTTTATTTAATTTGTCAGTTATTGTATTAGACGCAAACAGACAAAACAAACCAACACAAAACACATCTACACAGAAACGAGAATGGAGATTTAATTATAGTACAAGTGACATATCAATGATGACATTTACACACATCCTAATCACAAAATGTTTTTTTATATACTCGAAACGAAACAAAATAAGTACGAAATAAAGTTTACTGCATACCAATCATTTTCTGCTTCGTATTCTCTGCCATCAATTGGTGTTTGATAATGCGCTTGAAAAGATGGCGAATTGCGCGCACATAAGACGCTTCCAGAAAGTTAAAGTTTAATTTCAGTTTCTCTTCGATATCAATCACATCATCGATGGCTGATTGAAGTGATGTATTAAACAAATCCGGAACATTTTGAGGATCTCTGAAATAACATTTACAATAATGTGTTATGTTGGTTGCCTATATTCATACATATTATTCTTTCCGGATCTGACGGAATGTTCATAGTAAGACATTAAAGATGGTCCAGCGCCTGCTAAAATCCCAGGAATTACAAGCTTATTGCTGTTGACAAGTATTCGGTAGGCTGTAGGTGAGATGGGAAGGTTAGCCACTTCTACCAGAACTTTCGCTTGAACCTTATCCGCAATTTTGCAAGAAATGCTCCGCTCTAATGCGGATAATATTAAAATATCACACGGTTGCGTGAATAACGAATCCAAATCATATTCACGACATTTCGGGTTGAATCCGCGCATTGTACCAAACTTAGTAATATGTTTAAATAAGGCTTTGACATGAATCCCCGCCGGTTCATAGAGCATGCAGTCATGTTCTCGGACCCCAATGCATAAAGCGCCCTCTTTGTGCAACATTAACGCTATGTCTTTGCCTGCTTGGCCTAATCCTTGAATGACATAAGTCCTGTCTTGTAGTTCAGAAAAACCAACACGATTAGCAATCTTTTCATTTGCTAAGAATCGCTTGATACTTTGGATAGTACACCTTCCACTTGCTTTTTTATGATCAGGAATCCCACCCAGAGCTTCACTTTTGCCAAGGATAGTAATATGTGGAGCTAGGTTATGGTATGATCTCAAAATGTCCATTTCTTTTGAGGTTGATCCAAGGTCAGGCTCAATCATATCGTTTAAGTTATCTAAACAAAAAATAAGTTAGGAGGTGATTTTAAGAAAATTTTAATAAAATTACGGAATTTCGGAAAACTTGATATAAATTCAGCCAAAAGATCTTGCATCTCAGAAGCATCCAACACATAGGGGCAGAATTTTATCCCACCTGCTGATCCAGCCGTGGCCATTCCAAACAAAGCGTTGCGATATGTCTGATGAGCAGCAAAACCTTGTGAGTTGTATCTTTTTAAGTCAGGATCAAAACGTAAACCTAACATAAAAAAAAACGTTAAAAATATTGAATAAAATTACAAGTGTGTTTAATCAATGGACCTCCTAAAGATTTATCATAGAATGCAGTCGCGTGATAAGCCCGGTTTGCTCTGACCATGGTCAAATTGGGCATGCCTTTGTGGAACCGTCTGAGGGGAATGTACACATCAACCACCGAGTCACATCTGTCCAACTGCGCGATGCACGTTCGAATTCGTAGAGCGGCTTCTCCAGGCGAACAATTCCAGTATGATACTACCTTTTCAATCAGTTCAGGGAATATCACTTTGTAGGATGAATGAATAAAGTAGTTTACTATCTGCAACAGGGACGCGTTTGCCAAATAAAAAGAATTGTGGTACTCATCGGGGATTTCATAGGTGAGACGCGTCGAGTTAAAAAAACGCTTGAAAATGGTTCCGGGTAAAAATTTCATTTTCTTTGATTGCGTGACTTTTTTCGATGTGACAAATTTGTTTTGATTTGTTATTTAATTGTTTTAACAATTGAATATTTAAAATAAAAATAGAAAAGTTTATTTCTGTTTGTAATGGCCTGTGTTTTGGTGTTATGTGGGTTGCCTATGTTGAACTATCAAGTCAAAAGCGGAAAACTACACAAGGCTTGGGTTTGTTTCTTAGCGTACTTCATCTTCTTCGTTCGCTGTGTGCTGCACACATGCTCATCATATGTTTGTGACAGAATGTCAAGCGTTCACGCGTAAACTCGCGTAAGAGAATATTAAAAATAGCGATTGTCTCGCCTCTCGTGTTCGTACGTGTGAAAGCACGCTCGGTCAACGCGCGACACGCGAGCCCCACCGAGCGGTCTAAACATACGCCGCAATTACGTAAGCCGCGTATAGTTTTATCAACGCCGACGGAAATAAAAGTCCGTAGTAGCCGACTGCCGACAGTTCGATAGGTCGCGGCAAGGGAAGCAGTCGATCAGTAGGAGAGCGAGGTGTGCGTGATTTGTTTATAGACGACGACGACAGCGTGGTGAGTTGCATTTGTTTCTTTCGCTACTATGGCGTATTTAACTAGATTTTCTCGTTCTTTTACTAGCAGACGGTAAAATGTACCATCTCAAGTCGACCGCGCTGAGGGGTATTGCACCCTTGCTACGCACCGTACCAACGGCAGCTAGCCGCGTACCTACGCAACAGCAGCACCAGCCACAGCGTAGTTACGCTGACCATGTAATCCCAGACCGGCTGAAGGATGTGCCCACCAGCCCCAATCCACGTTTCTTCGACATGGTCGAGTACTTCTTCCACCGCGCATGCATGCTCGTCGAGGACAAGCTCGTCGACGATCTCGCCAACGTAAAGGGCTCCCGCTTGACGCTCGCTCAGCGCAAAGCGAAAGTCAAGGGTATTCTCACGTTGATGGAGCAGTGCGATTACATCATCGAGATCGCTTTCCCGATTCGTCGCGACAACGGCGAATATGAAATCATCAAGGGCTACCGAGCGCAGCACAGCAGTCACAAGTTGCCCTGCAAGGGAGGTAAGTAGTTCACTTCATTGCCATGGCAACGACCTCGTTATTATCTACCTACGGGTTAATTTCATTAGTTACTTTAACAACGCCCCCTATAATACGGAAAAGTTTGCGAAACAATTGCAATGCGGGTAATTAAAGTCACCTTTACTTCCAAGTCCTTCACTTGTGACACTTGTACGCGAGGAAAATCGTTATACAAGTCGGTCGCGTAAATATTTATTTGGGTGGTTCGCATCGTTAGCAGTCTCGTCGATTGGCATTTCTCTGTCAGCAAACACATCAGCCTGCTTGCTACAGATGCCAATCGGTCGAGTTTGCTGTGCACTCGATCACATGACAGCATGTTGCACATGACTGTGGCGTCAAAAGCATAATTGCATGAATAAACACATTCATTGTTGTTTCCGTGTGTTCCACGCCTTGACCGCGCCACTCGAATGCTTACGCCGATAATTTCATTATAACATTGATCGGTATATGTACTCGAAGCATTAAAAACAGGTTTCGGCAGTTGACATAATAGACTTGTTGTATAAGTTGGAAAATTTTGCCAAAAGTTACGATCTTGCGCGGTGCGTTTCCAACTAGGGTGTCCAAAGTGAAATGCGGGCTTTATTTTCAGTAAATTCAACACGCATATTCTTAAAATAAACGTGGGTGCTTCAGAACTACGTCGTACGATATCCTGCTACGAACATATTCGCTTAATTATAATGCATGTTATGTTAGAGATGATATTTACCGAAAATTATGTAAAAATACCATTTCAAGAGCGATATTAAGTCTTTAAAACAAACAGACGTCACTAACAATTAACAACAATACCAAAATCTTCTACGAAATCGCAGCCACATAGAAAAGTAAACGTTATTGGTTGTTCAAATTAGCACTATCGCCACATGACCGCTAAATGAAAAGCGTGTAATTAAATACAGGGTGTTTCCGCATTCCGGATTTGCGCATAGGACACAAGCTCGTAAAATCAAGGTTATCAATGTCGTAAAAACCAAAACGCGCCGTGCTTTGCGTAACTTTTTACGCTTAAAAATTTTTTAGATCGGATTTACTGTTCTTGTATTACGTTGCGCGTCGGTTTGCATTTTAATAAGCAACGTCGTTATAAAACTATCGTAAAATGATTTAGTAAATATCAAAATTTAGCATTTCGTGAAGTGTGCGCGCACTTGAATATCGGTGTACTTAAAAAATCATATCGAGTGCACTAAACGAAAGGCGCTGATAACAATTGAAGATAATTCAAATCGCGTGATTGAAAATGTTATACAAGCTGTAGATTGTTGACTCGGTCGTCAAGGTATCAAGAGTCGCATCTTAGTCACTCGCAGATAAACATTATTTATATAATTATCGAATAATCACCGATAAATCAAATTAGATTGTTTATTATTGTAATATTAAACTGATTGATTGTGCTTCGGTTAGAAACACGCCGCTTTTGACAAATTGTATAATTTCTGACCTCGATAATTATTTTATTGCAACCGCCCGATTTATTGCTACGATACTGAATGAAAATATTGAATAATACTTGGTAGCAAATTGATAAATTACACGCGTTCAAACACGACGATCCAAATATGAGTTTGTTGATTTAATGATAACAATTTACGATCTTTGATTAAAGTCGCCATAAGTTTACTTTACGACTAAATAATACTGGTTGTAGTCTGTTACAATTTATATGAAACGCGTTTGTAAATCTTTCAGGTATCCGTTACTCGTTGGACGTGACCCGTGATGAAGTCAAAGCCTTGTCGGCTCTTATGACCTTCAAGTGCGCCTGCGTGGATGTACCCTTCGGCGGTGGTAAGGCCGGTATTAAGATCAACCCAAAGAAATACTCCGAGCATGAACTGGAGAAGATTACTCGTCGTTTCGCACTGGAGCTCGCGAAGAAGGGCTTCATTGGACCCGGTATTGATGTGCCCGCCCCTGACATGGGTACCGGCGAGCGTGAAATGTCCTGGATTGCTGACACATACGGCAAGACCATCGGTTATAACGATATTAACTCACACGCTTGCGTTACCGGCAAGCCCATTAACCAGGGTGGTATCCACGGTCGTGTGTCCGCCACTGGTCGCGGTGTCTTCCACGGGCTTGATAACTTCATCAAGGATAAGGCATACACAGACATGATTGGTACCACTCCCGGCTGGGAAGGCAAGACTTTCATTATTCAGGGTTTCGGTAATGTCGGTCTGCACACCATGCGTTACTTCCACCGTGCTGGTGGCAAATGCATTGGTATCATTGAACATGATGGTTCCATCTACAACCCCAATGGTATTGACCCCAAGGAGTTGGAAGACCACCGCTTCGCAGCCGGTACCATCAATGGTTTCCCCGGTGCCAAGCAAGTTGAAGGTGATGCGCTTATGTTTGAGAAGTGCGATATCTTTGTGCCGGCCGCTGTTGAGCAGGTTATCAACAAGGGCAACGCACATAAGATCCAAGCTAAAATCATCTGTGAGGCTGCTAATGGACCAACTACACCCGCTGCTGACAAAATTCTCATCGATAGGAACATTATGGTTATTCCTGACTTATACATCAACGCTGGTGGTGTGACTGTATCCTTCTTCGAATGGTTGAAGAACTTGAACCACGTCTCCTATGGTAGATTGACCTTCAAGTATGAGCGTGAATCCAACTATCACCTTCTTGGTAAGCTTACCGCGCATAATCCCTCCTAAATTCTATTTATAATTTGAATTTTTTTTGCAGAATCCGTACAGGAATCACTTGAACGCCGTTTTGGTAAGGAAGGCGGCCAGATTCCAGTCACCCCGTCCGACTCCTTCCAGAAGCGTATCGCTGGTGCGTCCGAAAAGGACATCGTGCACTCCGGTCTTGACTACACCATGGAGCGCTCCGCTAAGGCAATCATGCGCACCGCGCAAAAGTTCAACCTCGGACTCGACCTGAGGACCGCCGCGTACATCAACTCGATCGAGAAGATCGCCAACACGATGTCCGACGCCGGTCTCACCTTCTAAGCGTTTACTCAGAATATTATGTGTGGACTCGACACGCTCGTTATACTCTTCGTCGGCACGCCGTCTCAACGGCAAAATCTTTATTTCTGCATTCATTGTTTGCGTTTATTCAACTTTTTAAAACAGTATTTAAGACCACAACATTACTCTATATGAAATCATGCTGATACTTTACACCAATTGATATTTGTTGTTGATCATAATCTAATGTTAATAAACATTCGTTATTTTAAAACCTTTTTGTTTGCTAATTTCTTAATAACTATCGCACCGATTGATTTCAATTTTTAGCGCTTGCTTTTCAAATAAAATAAGCATATTCTGATGTAGTAATACTGAAATAATATGTGCTCAGGGCATAATAAACGTATACAGAAAGTGAAATTTCAATCGGAGTAAAAGTTCTTGAGAAATTAGTATTTTTGTAAAAATATTGTTTGAGTTGAGTTAATTTGTGTGTTATGTGTTTGATACAGTATTTTTAAGCCACAGAGTAGGTCAAGGTTAATATAATACTTACACAATCTAATTAATTTAGTGATAAGAATGTACGATTTTAAACTTTTTGCAATTTTTATGGCTTGGCACGTTTTTAAACGTGTTCAAATTAGAGTGCGTGGAGCGCCATTACTAATATCCCCACTTCTTAATATGGCAACAACTAGGCAACTGCGGTGTTGCCATCACTACTCTTTGATAACTAAATTAAGTTTTTTTCTTTTATTTACTAGAAATGTGAATGCACCAAATGCACTTGAATCAAATTTAACTCTAAGCTTTATGAAATAACTTATTGCACCAATAAACGTGTTTAAATAGTGAAGAAATCGAAATTATACTTATTAAGTATTGCAGTATGATGTTCGTGAAGCATCCTGTACAACGAGCGCGCAGCAAGCCGTGCACAAGCCACAAAACAAAATGTCACTGTGATTGTTGTTGACATTTAATACAATATCAAATAAATAAAGCACCGCTGGCCGAAACAATACCCAATTACTCATTGCCATCATCGTGTCATCGATCACAGCAGCGAGGCCGTGACGCACCCGCCGGAAAGTACGTGCGAAAAATATTACGCGATTGTTATCGCCGAGTGTGTTTTGTTCCAGCGGCCGCCTGGATGTCTAAAGTGATTCGCGCGTTACATGCAGAGCCGGTGTACGATAATCGCGTTTCGTTATGTAATTAGATTGTAATAAGCACTTAATGGGCTAGGCGTCCGCTGCAGAAGTCGTCATCATGTCCACCGCGTCCAACGGTAACCTCAAAGTGCGCGGACCTGGCAGGCCACCGAAGAAGGTAATTGCATGTACGTGGTGCAATGAAGGCAAACTACCGCTGAAGTACGTCCTGCCGACCGCCAACGGCAAGAAGGAGTTCTGCTCGGACACCTGCCTCGCCGAATTTCGCAAGGCCTACACTAAAGGAGCCTGTCTACAGTGTGATAATGTTATTCGAGGTGGGAACAATCCTAGCAAAGATTACTGCTCAGTGGTATGCATGAACAAACACCAGAAGAAAGCAGATCCTGCTAGTAGGATACTGGCGGTGGCACCAACCACCACATCAGATTCCGGCTCACCGGGACCGTTTCAATATGAAACTTTTATTACATTTGATTGGGATGAGTACCTAAAAGAAACAAGCAGTGTGCCGGCACCACACAGTTGTTTTAAACAGAGTGTTGATCCGCCACAGAATGATTTTAAAGTTGGAATGAAACTAGAAGCGTTGGATCCGCGAAATGTAACGTCAACGTGCATCGCGACTGTGATTAGTGTTTTGGGGCCTAGGTTGCGATTACGGTTAGATGGGAGTGATAATAAGAACGATTTTTGGCGACTGGTAGATTCCAGTGAGATTCATCATATTGGACATTGTGAAAAGAATGGTGGAATGCTGCAACCACCTTTAGGTAAGTGCATGTACTGCGCATGCGCAAATTTAAATTAACTTCACTTTTATTTTGTTTTTACTTAGGTTTTCGTATGAATGCGAGTTCATGGCCTATGTTTCTATTGAAAACATTGAATGGTGCAGAGATGGCACCGTCGAAAATATTCCTCAAAGAACCGCCTGGTCCTAAAACAAACCTCTTCCAAGTGGGGCAGAAACTGGAGGCGGTAGATAAGAAGAATCCGCAGTTGATATGCACTGCGACAATCGGTGCTATTAAAAATGAACAGATTCATGTTACTTTTGATGGTTGGCGCGGTGCGTTTGACTACTGGTGTCGTTTCGACAGTAGAGATATTTTCCCCGTGGGTTGGTGTGCCAAATCTGGTCATCCTATGCAACCCCCGGGTCAGAAACAAAATGCTGGTGCGAATAGATTCAAACCGAAGACGCTTGTGAGTCCGATGGTGACGCCGACGAGCACGCCAACTGTAACCTCGACGGTAACCACAGCGGAAGTACAATTACACGCTGAAGCGGATACTTCAGGACCACCCTTACCACCTGTGGTGTTGTATATTCACAAACCTTGCCTTGGTGGTCCATATATAGATATAGCAGAGCTTCCGGTCAAGTTGGAAGATACCAGTATGTTGGCACTAACTAAAAAAATGGTTTCGGCCATTTTGAAAGCCTCAAATAAAGCTGAAGTGATTTTGGCAAAGTTGGGTGCACTTAGAGGAGAGGAAATTGCAATCGGCTATAATGGTACGACGTATACGATTAAATTACCACTGGTGGTGAAGACCAGCGACTATGAAGCGGTTTTCCAGGCGTTGAGCGCGAGTCTGGGATGCTGCGCGCAATTGTTTAGCTTGAAATCAACGCGTAGTTCGTGTGCGAATTGTGATATTCGACCGCCGCCGACGAAGAAGAAAGCTGAGCAGGAAGCGGCTACTTCGACGACGCCGAGCGATGCGCCGACGCTGTCAACATCGCCGATTGCGCATTTGAATAAAATTCCTACACAGGAGTGGGGTATTGAAGAAGTGATTCAATATATCGATTCAATTGATCCCTGTCTTGGTGTACATGCGGATTTATTTAGGAAACACGTGAGTAATAGAATATCTGTTGAGTATTCTACTATAGGCAACCATTCAACCAGTCGTAGACGTTATTGGCATCAGGAAAACTTTGCTTTTTATTGATTTCATGATATATGTTTGAATACCTTTTCATTTGTTTCGTTTAGGAAATTGATGGTAAAGCTCTCTTACTACTCAACTCGGATATGATGATGAAGTATATGGGATTAAAGCTGGGCCCGGCGCTGAAGATTTGCAACCTGGTGGCGCGACTGAAAGGCAGACGGCATCAATAATGGCCGCCATTAGTGCACCATTGCGACTCTTAATGTGTAGACGTGATTTGCTTCATTGTGAATGAAGTAAATCAGGGCTTATCGCAATTGCAGTTGACATAATTTGCGCTTAAACATTTGAATATTACATTACGAGTGTTTTCTCAGTACGTTATCCGTTAATGTATAAAGCGAGGATTTATTTTTGTAAAAAAGTGCATTAGTGATTAGAGCGGTTAATTAGATATCTCAATATCATAAATAATATCGAAATATGTAGAATTACACTTTAGGTGGACACACATACGACACCAACCAACAATGAACGATGAACTCAGTGAATTAAATTATTATCAAATCGTTACTGCACTAAATGCCGCTTACGAAATGAAATTTTAAAAATTATTGTGAAACATGTACATACCAAATGTGTGAACGTTGGATTCTTGTTTATCTATGTTTACGTCGATTATTCGCATACTAAGGCATTATTTTTCCTTAATCTTAAAGTTAGTTACTTGTACTTTTGTTATATTTAATGTAACAAGATTTTTGTATCATTATTATTATTATTATTATTATTCATAGTAAGTTATCAAATTAGTACATTTCCACTTATTTAACAAAGAATTTAACAATGTAAATATATATTTTTAGTAGCATGCAGCTGGTTAAACAATCTTGTATTTTGGGTTGCATACCCTCAAACCTAATTTGAGCATGAAACAGTAAAATGTATTCGAAGTGTTTAATTTGACGATAAACACTATTATGACTGAAAAGTAATCAAATAAAACGTTATCATTATAGTTTAAGAACGTATTAACAATTGAAGTGAGCTAAACTGGCGATTAACATAATAATTAAGCATAATATCAGTATAAATCTATTATGTACACGCAGGTATAAAATACTTCTTAACCTCTTTTGCGAATACCCTTCAAAGTAGTTAACTTTTGAATTGAAAAGAAGCAAATTTGAATGTTAATGTCTGCAATGCAAAATTGTGATTGTTTCGGCGCCTATAAATAGACAGCGTTAATGAATTAATGCAAATAGCATGCGGTGCGTTACGGCATACGAACGATAACTAATCAAATTCAAATTCGATAATGTCGTGCAGCGCAGTATTGTACGGTAGTATTCACTAGTGCTCCAACTCGTTGACCCTTGCGAAACGCCGATTCGGTGATTTTCAACTTTCAGAACACAATATTTGCCTGACGCTGCCAATAAAACCAGGAGCGAACGGACGATTCCGTTGAATTTCTGCAACGGTGCGCGGAATCGGCGGGCGCGAAGTTTCGCGTGCGACATTTTTATGCTCGCATAAACTTAAAACGTAAATTCAGTTATAGTTAAATTGCTACACAATTTACAATCCGCACCGTTAATTAGTTACGCGCTGCGCATTATTTACATTTCTATACGTTTAATAAGTTTATAATAAAGAATTATGAAAGTAATGCAATGCTACGCTAGCAAAAAGGTAGCTACGGCGCATGCGTATTAAAAGCAATCATCACAGGAAAGGTTATAATTAGCATAAGACCGGAAGTACATTTGTCAACATGAAAATTATTTTTGATATCAGGAGTTTAGCGAGAACATCTTTTTCGCTTACTTGCTTTGGAAAATTCACGGTTTGCAATTTGTCTTTTTGACATTTAGATTGCAGTTACCAAGCCACAAAAATATCAAATTGCATGTTTGTGTTGATTATACCATTCATGAATAGTTATAAATATTAGTAATTTGGCAAATAAACCGAAAGAGACAAACCGATACCCGTAAAATTTAATTCTCAGTTTGATTTCTGACGTAATCTTGTAAAATATCATTATTTTTTTGCTACAGAGACGCAAAACTACTTTACACACCACTTTATCATAAAAATATCAACAAAACTCAAGTTTTCTGAGCTAGTAGATGAAATAAATTCTAAAATTTATTTTAATTTGCTATATTACAATATTAGTTTCCATGCGTGCCTACATTTTTTTACATCAGACAATCATTCAACCTACACTTACTTCAACTAATGTGAGCGTGAACGACCAATCAGTAAGTTCCAAGTCAGCGCGACTAATAGACTAATAACACCAAGATTTATATAAAACCCAAGCGAAAACATGCGTTTAATGAATGAAAAACTATTCCAAAACATCCAATTCACCAATAATCAACTGGACCGACAATAAACGCATCGCATATTTCTAGTTATTTACATAAAACAACCGAAAATGTTTGTGCGCATGCGCGCAGAACTCAGCAGCTATAGGACGGTCCCATGCGGGTCTGATGCTTTCGCCGCACACTCGCAACTCACACACGCACGCCGAGATTATTACTGATACAAGTGCATGAACGCGACGCGGCGCGAGCGTCGATCGAGTCGGTGTAGTCAGTCATCGCTGAGAAGTACGCTAGTAGCTAGTCGAAACACGCAAGTTAGTGTAGCATAGGAGCGTGCAGCGTACGGTACTCCGCATACCGGCAAAACACACACAGAACCGAAATACAAACGAAACTCGAAGCAGGAAAACCAAGGAGTGGTTTGGGAATTCCTGCGCATTCCGGCGACAACTCATCCACCAACAAGTGGTTGCTCCAAGAAACACGAAAAAAACTAAACTAAAGTGCCTTAAGTTGTACTTAAACATTTAAATATTAAAAGTATATAATTATATACAGAGACTTAATATTAAAACATTATATGCCGGTCGATTAATAAAAATAAGGTGATTTATTGATTAATATACTTTTAAAAGTTGTTGGGAAAGTTTGCACACGCCTGCAGAGGAACTCTTTAAATATCGCCAACCCGGATTGATTCATCGATAACAAATCCCCCGGCGTTCATCATGGAGACGATGGAGTATTCCGTGGATAAATTGTACGACATTCACGCTGAGTTTTGGGACGCCACTTTAGATCCGGTAAGTCTAGTCTTGAGTTAATTGAGTTTAAGTCGCGCGAGCAACTTTCATTACGGATTCAACTTTTACCTTTCTCCCTGGCTGCAAATTCCAAGCGGCAATTTCTTCAACTTTAACTTTTTCAAAACATTAATTTATTTTTTGTTGGTTTTTAATTAATAACAATTGAGTTTTAAACCTAGTGTCATATTAGTTGTCATGGTTTGCTGAGCAATTTTAATTCCACACAAATTTTGTTGCTTTTTTTTTTGTTTGGTTGCGTGCATTGCGATGATAATAATGTGATGCGTCGAGCAGAACCAGAAATCATCCTCTTGGTAGGGTCGTAATCTCAACTTAGACTAGTCTCAGACCGGAACGAGACAGGACATCACTCATCAACTCTAAACTGAATGTTTTTACGAAATTGTTTATACTTACACTAAACAAGTTTAATGAGAGTACATAGTTCATTGGGAATTTCCTAAATACTGAACTTTTAGTATTAGTAAATATAAATATTATTATAATAGATGGCGTGAATTGTAAAAAGTGAGGTTATTCATTTATCAGTTGATTTATGTGATTAGTTTATATGTGAAACAGAATTAACGCACCAACGCGTTTTTTAAAGTGATACCCGCCTTTTATTACACAATTGTACTATTGTGCTCATAAAATTCGGCAACAAAAAAGCGTGAAACGTACACCTACGGCTATAGATATCGAACAATCCGTATTTAATTCCAATAACCACGATTATATCGTGTTCATTTTGAACCTTTTTTTTTATTCCCGTTGTATATTTATTATGATCAAGACGATTTGCTCGCTGTGAGACGCAGGCGCTGTTTGTTATGTTGTTATCAACATTTTTTGCATTTTCCACCGCACAAACATGAAAACAGTCAATGTATAAGATTGTGACGCACGTTTGCGATGCGTTTGTGGATGGAAAACATTTGCATTTATTCCGGAAAGTTATTATTTCGTCATGTACCAAACTAAATGTGCTTCACATTAGAGATTTGCACGTACTTGAGTTTTGTAATATCTATTATTGGATAATTCGGGGAATTCATTCATTAGAAATTGATTGATTAACGATTATTAGCGCTAATATTAATTAATACGTTGATAGATTATCAGATCTTAGTTTAAACCGGTTAATGTTAATGTTTTATAAGGAGAAAATGATTCAACTGCATCCGGTTAGGAGTTGTATGAGTTATAAAAAAATTCCAAGATAAGGCGTGTGATTGAGATTGATATCGGTATCAAGGGGCATTAAGGGCTCGCGATAAAAGGCACATACTTTGATATTGAATTTTTATTTATCAAGAGTTGAAAAGTCAGCAGAATTAAATTTTTAATATTAATAATAATTGTAAGGTTATGTTTATTACTAATACACATGATTAAATACATTTAATTTAAATTGGCGATAAAATTGATTAGAAAGTATAATAATGTTTTATGTAACACCACAAACATTTATTATTTTTATAGCGATGTCACGAGGTGTGCGTGACATGTGCAAGTGCAAGGCAAACACTGAAATATTCTCTTATCAATGTGCATCAGGATGATGAAAATGTATTAATGTAGTTTTTGCCCCACTGTTTCATGTGTGCTTATAGCGTATATTACCACGAAGTAGACACTTGCGCGATATCGATAGTTAACAAATATTTACGAAAATGTGACGAAAACCTACATGGGACGCCATTTTATTGATAGGCACTTATGAAAACGACGAATCAGACTTGAATGTAATTGTGGTTTTTATATTCTCCAAGTGTAATGCCATGACTAATTTCATTGCGGAATTTTATATACTTATGTTTTGACATTCGATAAGAATCGTGCACGTTTATTAATGCTAAATGTGTTTTTTATTAAAAGTCGCCTTACGTAATTAATATTGGCCAGATTGGAATTACTAATTGCCAAGAGGATGTAGATACCAATGTATAGATGGTTTATACACTTTGTTAATGTTGAATTATTCGCGTTAATGTAAAATCTAATTTTAGTTTTCCCAAGAAACGCGTTAGAAGTCATCAACCACTTGGAAATGATGCTAAAAATAACCATCGATATATGTAATTGATAAAATGTACTGTATGAGCTAAGTGAGCTAATTGTATTGACCTCAATTGCTGTTTCTTATTAAATAACAAGTTGGTGATAAAATTCCGAAGAAATATTTTTTATTTGCGATGGAAAATTTGTGTTAATTTTGTTTGAAAAAACAAATTCAACGTGAAAAGGAAAGGCCGCATTCCATGGTGATTGGCATAGTCATCTCTATTTTGTCTAGGCTTATCTATGTGTGGTTATCGATGGCGGAAGTGTGGCGTTTTAAAAAGTGAATCGCCGGACGAGCCCGGACGTTCTGACGGTAGTCAGTGCGGCGTGGTGCAGTCGAGCGCTTCCGCTCTTTTCTGATCCATCATTATTGGCCTCCTCTCGTTTGGTAAAACGCGCGCCACGGCCGACTGGACGACCAATTCGTTTCGTAGATAACCGTAATAAAGAAAACGCAAAACGAAAGCACTTAAATGGCTGCCACCACTCTCTAAGACACTAAATAGATACGAGAATAGATTCTTTCTTTCTGAGAATAGGAAACCGGATGGAGAAAACCATAGAAATGATGCAAAAATTAAACGTTCATATGAAGCAATTAATATTGTATTTAATCAAAGTAGTTTTTAAAAGTTTTTTTTTTTTGTCAATTAACCAATAAAACCTTGTAATGTTGGTTGCAGACAAAATATGATTGATCAACAGTGTTGCCTTTCAATTATTGTCACATACCTACACTATAACTGTCCCATTAATAAATAATATAAAAGTGTCACGGGTAAAAAAGAGAATATTGACAAAAATGTCGTGACACATAAAACTGGAATAGGGCGCAACCCGCAGAGGGTGGGATTAAATAATTCCCTATGGTGCTGTGGTAACAAACCGACATCGAAATTCATTTATAAATATTCCCTGCACGTTCATAATTCACGTCGTTTTTGTAGAACTACTATAAAATTAGAAACATTCAAATATTGACTATTTTACTATACAATAATAGAATATTATTACAATATTCACCCTTATAAAGATTATGTGTTGCTCTTTATCAAAGTAATTTATTGTATTGTTATTGAATGGGGATTTATTTGCAAATTTGTACAGCGTTCACAAATCAGATTATAATACAGTACATTTAATATATTGTTAAAATAGAAACTTGGAGAATTGAGATAGTGGATTGTTCAACAGAGGAGACGGTCGGAAGCGACGAAAACACTTATGCGGGCTAATTGATTCATTTCATTTCATTAGGTTGCATTTCTCGGTGTGAATCATACGGGACTACTTATTATTTATTTTCATTAGCTTAAATATTTATAGTGGTTTATTGACGTGTAATTAACTAATTTTATATGAGAATTTGACTATCAGTACAATTGTATCTTTAATCCAACTTTCATCCCTTATTTTACACCATTTAAATTATATTTTTGAGATAAAAAGTATACTATATGCTTTTTCATAGTCAAATTTATCTCTACACCAAAATGTATCCAAATTGTTAAAGTGGTTCTTGCGTGAAAGCGTTACACACAAACAATATGCATCTATAATATAAAAATGAATCGCAGAATCTGTTGGTAAGCGCATAACTCAACAACGCCTGGACCAATTTGGCCAATTCTTTTTCTAAAGTGTTTTTCTAAAGTCCAAGGATGGTTTTTACGGCGAGATAAATTTGAATAATTGCCAGGAAAACTCTAAAGACAACCCTTTTCTATAGGATAAAAGTTAACATTGAGATTAAATCACAGTTATAGTTAAATAGTTGAATCCGAGATGGCGCAATTATTAGCAATTCTTTATATAATTAATTTCTTTAATATAAAATTGCGAATCTTATTGATAGAATTGACACATACGATGTCTAGAACAAGAGAGTTTATTAAACACTACCGGGATGAAGTCGTGGGCAAAAGCTAGTCTATAATATTAGTTAGGATTATATTTGCATTTATACTTCAATTATTTATCGTGGCCAAAACTCAAAACTCTTTTTTTGTTAAATTTGTCAAAAATTATATCCCGAAGTTAATTTGAAACACTTCTAATGGAAAATTGCTTTCATTATAACCCAATTATAAATAGTAATTTAAGTTAATCTAATAAAATGTTTTGATGCATCAAAACAATAATATTTTTCAATTTGAAAATGAAATGATGTCCCTGAACGATGTTTAAATAGACAATATTTACGTGACATGAAAATAAATGAAATTACTGGATACTAGATGAAATGCTGAATCATCACCGCATGTAATTGATGTAATGGCTGACCAATGAATGAAATATCATAAAAATGATATTTTAATGAGCATGCGAACCTTAACGGCATACTGTGCGCATCAATGAAGTGCATAAAACCCGTCGTGTGTTGGTGATAATGATTTATTCGTACTGCACAGGCAGAAAAATGCGCAGGGCAAAGGATTACGTAAAGTATAATGTCCGTGTTTACATCGACCGCGAGTGACAAGTCCATGAAGGCGCCATCATAATAATAGATTTCCATGTTTTTATTTATTATAACACGAACGACACATCACACAAAATGATTGATATTTTTTAATATAGTATTTCCGGTTGCACATAGGCACGAAGTCATTTTTCAAATGACAACAAACTCATAAATACGCTGATAACAGTTTAAAGTGTTGGTAAATTCAACGAAAAACTACCGACTGGGATTTACATCTGTCTGCAATTGAAAGTCAGTCTAACCAGTAAATAATTCGTAATTGTGATGATTGTGATTTATGCGCGAACACAAATGTGAATACATTTCGTGTGACACAAATCTAATGCGTTCTCATATGCATAATACGAAGCGCAACTTGTGCGATATCTGTTTTTCGAATTAGTACTTAATCGTTTTGCCCTAGATTCGAAACGCGCGTTTTTAATGAATTTTTTTTTGAAAGAAT